GTTGGCGCCAGTTGGCACCGTCCAGCGGCCAGGACATCTTCGAGACCATCTACTTCGCGGCCTGCGAGGCCTCCTGCGAGCTGGCGGAGGTCCAGGGGCCCTACGAGACCTATGAGGGCAGCCCGGCCAGCCAGGGCCGGCTGCAGTTCGACCTGTGGGGCGTGGAGCCCAGCGCGCGCTGGGACTGGGCCGGCCTCAAGGCGCGCATCGCGCGCAGCGGCCTGCGGAACTCCCTGCTGGTGGCGCCCATGCCCACGGCCAGCACCGCCCAGATCCTGGGGAACAACGAGTCCTTCGAGCCCTACACCCAGAACCTCTACGTGCGCCGGGTGCTCTCCGGGGAGTTCGTGCAGGCCCGTTGAGTCGAGCCGTCGAGCCGTTTAAGAGGGAGGGCAGGGAGACCAATCCAAAGCGTTGCGTCAGGTGAACCGCCACCTGCTGCGGGACCTCATCCAGCGAGGTCTGTGGAGCGAGGAGCCGGTGCGGGGTTGGTCGGAATCCGTGCTGTGCTTTCTTGACAATTGGGGCCAGGAGCTCCGCATGCAGCTCATTGCCCACAACGGCAGTGTCCAGGGTCTCGAGCTGCCGGACGACCTCAAGGCGTGGCGCGTCACGCAGGCTCCCTCCCGCCCTCCTCGCCCGTCACGCCCTCACGCCCGCCTCGCCCGGCAGGAGCTGTACAAAACCGTGTGGGAGATCAAGCAGAAGGTGGTGGTGGATATGGCCGCTGACCGCGGCGCCTTCATCGACCAGTCTCAGTCACTGCGGCTCGGACCATACGCAACGCGGAGCTTATCGGAGCTTGCGCCATGCCGCAATGACGTCATGTCGTCATGCCATGCCGTTGCCATGTAAGGAACATCCACATGGTGGACGTCACGACATCAAAGCTCTCATCCATGCACTTCCACGGCTGGATGCGGGGCCTGAAGACCGGAATGCGCCCTTCACTTCGGGGTGCGGGCCAGTTCGGGTTTCTGAAGTGGGGGCGTGTCACGGGGTCACGGCGATTCAGGTACTACCTCCGCACAAAGGCCGCGGCAGACGCCATCAAATTCACGGTCGAGGCGCCTTCCTGCCATGGCTGGGGCTTGGGCGTCCGGTTCCAACAAGACCTCTCCCCAGTCTCTCCCCCTCCGATTTTTCCAAGTTGGAAGGTGCAGAAGACGAAGAAAACCGCGACCAAGGAGCCTGACACGGTGAGCTCTGCCATTGCCCAGCTGAAAGCTGAGGGGCCTAAGTACACCTGCGTTGGTTGCAGTGCCTAAGGGGAGCCCAGGTCCCGGTCAAGCCACAACCTGTGAGAAAAACTGACCGACGCAGGGATTCGGGCAGGGATCTGGTGGGGACGGCACTGGGACCAGTGCGCGAGGTGCCAATTCAAAGCTGAGGTCAGCATGGGGCTTGTGACATGGATTGCAAGACGGCCTGGCAAAACATGGTTTGTCGCATGAGCAAATGCGCTTGAGAATGACTGGCTGAGAAATTTAATGCACCGGGAAACAACAAAGGCTCTGACAAACCTCGTTTCTGGGCTTTTCCTCGCTCATCTTCCAACAAGCGTGAAGCATGAGACGTTTAGACTTCGGGGAAAAATATGTAGCCAGGATGCATGCAGCAGGCACGCATAGCTACTGCAGTTGATCGATGGCCGAGAGCATCGCGCAGCCAAATTGGTTGTCAGGTCCACCCAGACGAGAGTGTCACGCACATGGACTCTGACCTTGTCACCTGGAACGTCATCCTTGATACTTGCTCATCGCCCTTAGCGGCAGCACCAGGCTCATCAGCCAGTTGCTGGCTGAGCTTCTGGCAACGTGCAACTGTCCACTTCAGTTGTGTCGGGTTGTGGGGCCTACAAGGCAAGTTACTGAGCTGCGCCGCTCTTGGGTCAAAGGGCTTGGAGTGCTTGACTCCTGGTCTATGGTTTGCAGATGGCTGGCGCTCCGATCAGAAAGGGTCATTCGAAATCTCAAAGATTCGAAATATTCGATTCGAAAGGGTTTCTTGGTCCCTCGCCTGCATGGCGTCTTCCCGGGAGCTGCTGCCAGTGTCACAGTCTGCGCCCGAAGAGTCAGCCTGGCGCTGCCCGCGCAAGGCGCATGAGGGGCCATGAGGGGCGAATGGGACCATATGGGACCATATGGGACCATATGGGACCCACTGGGCCAATGGCAAGCAGAGCGCTCTTTTCGCTCCAAGATGCCCGCGCTGAGCCGCGTGGTGCCGCCCCTGGCGCTGGCCGCTACTGCTCCTTGGCCATCGAGCCAGCGATTGAGCTCGGTTGTGGGGACGAGGCCTTTTGCACTTGGGGCCCTGTCTGTCAGGCGCTGTCACTGCTGGCGCTGATTTTGGCCATCGTGGCACTGGCGAAGCCTGCCCCGCAAACGGAGCCTTGGACACAGGCCCTTGGGAGAGTCGGGGAGATCCCTTGAAGATTGAGCCTTGCGTCTTGCGTTGGACAGCTCGAGGCCCATATTTGCTGGCAAGATGTATGGCACATGTTCGTGTCATGGAGATCGAGGACCCCATGGCATCGTTGCCGCCTTTGACTGGGGTCAACGCGGGCGGCTGGCTGAACTTGGAGGACCGCAAGAGTGCGAAAGGGCTCTGCGGCTCGTGTGGCTGCGTGTGGCTTCAGGACTGGTTCTTCTCAGGCGTGACTGGCCGGAATGCCCGGGCACTCAGGTTCGCAAGGACACGCCTTGACCATGGAAATACGCTGCTTGCTTCGTGGCGTGCTCTCTTCAGGTCATGAGCCTGGTGAATCGCCCCGGGCTTATTCCGGATCCAAGCATGAGAAGTGGCGGGCAAGATCAGGCGGCCAGGGAGCGTGCCTACCACCGGCAGTGCTCACTATGGACGACTACTGGCCCTCGGAAGGCGGAATCGGGCATTGCACGTAGAGACGTAAAGAGACGATCGGGTGCCATTCTTTTATGATGAGTGAACTGAACAACTACAACACGCATGAAGGCAATTGTTTGTCTGCTTGGCAAACCGCAAAAAGCGACACATGGATGTTAGCCAGAGTTTCAGCTTCGGTCGGAGCACTCCGCGATAGGCTTCCTCACGATGCGTTTGAATCAGTCGAGGGGGCCCGCCTTCACCGCAGAGGCGTGCGGGTCCGAGCGCTGAGAGCCGTGCAGCCGCAAAAGCATCAGGCGTTCGAGGCCCACCGCCGCTCCTTCATTGGTGAAGAGGCAAGGAGTTCTGAGAAAGCTCATGGACATTGCCACCTCTTTTCTTGCGCACTTGGCCACTTGGCTTGACATGCTTGACTATGTGTTCCCTCTGATCGCACGAGACGTTACCAGGGCTTTCCCAGAGACGCCCGAAAAGGGCCAGATCCACGAAATTCTCCCCGCAGGGCTTCCCCCCAAAGCCCCCAACCCCCCCCCCCCTTCCCCCCCCCCCAGGCGTGGCTCTTCCAAAATCTCCTTCCGGAGAGGACTTCCAGGGCATGGCGTCGCTGAAGCTGCAGCTCCTCCGCCTTCCGCTGCACTGGGCCGCCTTCGCGGACGCTCTGGCGCCGCCCCGCGGCCGAAGCAACGAAGTCTCTCTCTCTCTCTCTCTCTCTCTCTACCTCTGTTGTTTTTTCCCTTCAGTTTTTTTCATTGTTTTTTTTCTTTCTCTCTCTCTCTCTCTCTCCCTGTTTCTTTTTCTTCTTATGTTTCTTCTTCTTCTTCTGTTTCCTCCTCTTATGGGTGGGATGGGAGAGCGTACGAAGGAGAGCATTGGAGGATGGCAGGATGGGAGTCCGGTTGAGAGTTTGGAACGTTGGAGCTTGCCAAAGGCAAGACTGCGCCAGATCCGCGGAGAATGGGGCTTTGTTCGGGTGAATGGGGCTTTGTTCGATGGCTGGGGAGGGATGCATTCTCACGTGCCAGTTGACAGCGAGGATCGACCACGAACTCTACGGCAAGCACAACCCAGATGAAGATACTGCCATCGTGCCAGATCCATATTACAACGGCTGGGCACTCAATCCCCTTCTGGGTTTAAGTCGGCTCCTCGCACGGGTGCAGCATTTCCCATTTCTGCATTGGTCGGTGCTATGCTGCGCTGAAAGTGGCCGGTGCTATGCACACAGGTGCTCACATCAAAAACATGGAAGCTGCACACTCACGCTGTACGGTGACATGACTTTGTTGAGCGGCTCCTTTTTTTAGTTGCTTCACGGGGAAAGCAAAGGGAGAACTTGGGGACCCTTGTGAACCTCAATCCCCTTGCTGTGGATGTGCTGGAGAGTGCTGAATACACTCCTTACTTAGTTGCAAGAAGACCCCAACATGAGCCTCATTTCGTCCCACTGAAGAGTAGTATCGCTGGAACCTGGAGCCAACTTGCAGCAAAAGTAATCAAACAGCGTTTTGTGTTTTCCATTTTTGGTTTGAACACGTTTTGTTGAAGTTTTCCACGAACAACTCGAGCCGAAAGTGGGATCGTTCAAGGCCTTGCCGCCTTCGCCACGGTGCCACGGAAGTGGCTTGCGTCGCAGCTGCGGAAGGCGGCGCAGAACAACCTCCGCGTGGCGCCTTGGCAAAGCAACGAACGTTTATTTCAAAGCAACGCAGCAAACGCCACAACGTGCATATTTCTTCTTGATACTATACCATGAATGAAATACTCACATTCAGGGCGCCCCAGAACCAGATATTCTGATCTTCTGTTCAAACGGTATCATCAATGTGCTGCCAGTACACTCCAGTCTTATGCATATGCCCACAACGCTGTGAGCTCCGGCCTCGCGGCGGAACCTCTGAGGTCTTGGATCTGCACGCCTTCCCGGGAGGCGCTGCCAATGGCCCTGGCCTCAGAGAGCCGCGCCTCGTGGCCTCGTGGCCTCGTGGCCTCTCGTGGCCTCGCTTCAGGGACCTACAACGGCGTGTGGCCCTCGCCCCCGGCCTTTTGGAAGGACGGGGACTCGTCTGCGCGGAGACCCGCGCGCGGGACCCGCCAAGAAAAGCCCGTCGCCGGTGCGAGACTTCGTCGAAAAGGAGAAGTCCAACGTGGGGAACCGCAGCGTGGCGTTGAAGGACGCCGGGCTGATGGTGGTGAAAGCGATGGTGCAATGGGTCGAGGGCGCGAGCCCCGCGTGAAACGACGGAACGACCTGTTTGCTTTGCCGCTTTGCCGCTCTGCCGCTGACTTAGGGCTTGACGACACCGCGAGGGGCGCAGTTGCAGGTCGGAGGGGAGGGGAGGTGGACTGGGGGTGCTCGAGCCTCTCTTCCGCTTGAACCCCCGAGAATTCAACCTCTGTCAGGTGTGACCGTGATGAATGAACCCGCGCACATGAACCAGGGGAGCGCCTTCGCTTCCGAGGCAGCACTATTTGTATGCGCACCGGCATTGTGATACTCTAGGTCAGGTTTGTGCTGCAAGAAGGAGATGCCCTTCCTCTCTTGTTTTCATGCTGATTAAGGTTTAGTCGCCTTCTTGCGCGCTTCATCTTTGCTTCATTGAGCACGGTATTCTTTGTCAATTGAGAGTTTTGGGCTCTGAATCAGCACGGAGGCTCTCGGTTAAACGCAGAAGTCCTGGCTGTTCTAAAGATGACGGGCTTGTGCCTTGCTGGCACAGGCTGACATCCTCCAATGGCTGAGCGACGCTTCGAACATGTTCCGCCAGTCCAAGTTGCCAGGGATGAGCGTGTGCGGGCCTCACTGCGCTCAAGTATCCAATCTTTTCAGTCACGACTTCTACATCTCACATCGATTTCCCGGTTTCCGAACAGGTTTCCCACGGCAAGCAACTGCTTTCCGATGTCACTTTGTCTCATGGGTTGCCGATGGTACGTCTACTAGGAAACTCTACATGCAGCTCATCGGGACGGCCTTCCGTGACTTCGATGGCACAGTGGCTGCAGCCTCTGGTCTCGAGCATGGCGGGTAGCTCGTTTGGCTATCTGAGGTGCCTTGGTTCCATAAGACCTTCTCCAGCCAGGAGCAGTCTAAGTGGGCGGTGCCGGCCTTGACTCACGTTCCATTTTTCGCGTCTCACGAAGTTTCCACAGAGAAGCTGTCTAGGTCGCAGATTTGCACTTCTACATTGCCTGGGGCGGCTGTGATGGCCGAGTCATCTCTGGCGGCGGCTTTGCCTGTGATGATCCCCTGGATGAGGCGAGGGGGGCCCAGGTTTCGAGGCTCCCACGGCCGCCTGAAGTGAAAGAAACTTGGGGAAGGGTCAGCCTGCGTCCCAGAAGGCCAAGATGGCCCGGCAAGGTCAGCTTCAGGGCTAATTATTTCCAGCATGGCTTTGGAGTGATTCTGAATTCACGTGCCAGATTCGCCAGAAGATTGACGGCTGCGTGAAGCGGGGCACTCACAGCAAGACTCAGAATAGCTTGGAGAGACTCTTGCACACCCATACCTAAGTCAGACGATGCCGTGCAGCTGCAACCTTTTGGTCCGCCCACTGAAGGTCTTTTACACAAGACTTCCGCAAGAACTTCGGGGGCCTTCGCGCGGTCACGGAGTTCTCGACGGGCACCTTCCAGGCGACTGGAGTCTTGGGAAGTCGTCTCGGGTCGATCGCAGCACTTGCCAGGATGCGCGCTTCGCCTGCCCGGGTCTCAGGACATGGGAAGCTTCACGCAGCGCCCTACCGCGTTTGCGCCTCTCATTCGGGGTAAAGCTGGCTTCCAAGTCGTCACCACTGGGCGTGCACAAGCCGGAGCACAGCCGTTTTTTTCAGGACAGATGTCACCACCCGCTGGTCTGAGTCGTGTATCGGTGTATCGGTGCATCGGTGTATCGCACTCTGAAAAGGCTTCGACGGGCTCAGACGCACTCGAGTTGCGTGAAGCCACTCCCGTTCGCTGTTCGCTCGGCGTGGCCTCGTGGCTTAGGCCAAGACCGGCGGGTTCTGGAGGCCTTCTTGCAGGTGCAAGCGGACGCCTACAAGGCCGCAGGCGGACGTCTTCAGTTCTGCAAGTCGCACAAAGCTTCGGCACGTGAGGCATGCTAAATTGGTGGACTTGGCGACAGCTTCGCTGAAGCGAACCAATGTTTTGACGTTTGAGTTGGTTGGAAGGGTCCTTGTGGAGTCACTGTTGCAGTTCCGAGGCATGTCGGAGAGTTTTGAGTGTTGTGCTTAGCTGACCCTCCGCATTTCTGGATCCCAGCTGTTCTCTCTTTGTACACGGCGCCAGCCAATCATGGCGGGTCTGGTAGACCTTCTGCCTGCGGGCGTCATCAGTCATGGTGTCTATGGAGGCTCCCAGTGGGTCCAGAGCCACCCTTCCGGTTATAGGAACTGCTGGGGAATCGCACATCCCAACATGCCACCGAGCTTCCAGTATGCGCCTTGGCAAAATGGGACTTTGTTTCGTGCCAGAACAGCTTGACTCTGAGTCGCCTTCGCTTAAGGTGCCGGCGACCATCGGCGCAGGCTACATTGCCTGCCAGGGTCAGCGGGTATGTGGGGCCACCATGACCACAGACGGCTTCGGCCGCTGGTCTGTGCCTTCAGCACGGGACCTGGCAGATGTCTTCAACATGATCGTGGCCAACAACCAGAACCTCTTGCAGTACTTTGACCAGACGGTCGCCTTGCAGCAGTTTATCACTGTATCACACTGTTTTGCTTTTGCAGACAGCGCTTGCCAAGGGAAGGTAGAGTTCCTTAGCGTCACCTGGCCGGCACAGCACATCCATTGTCCTTGACACGTCTTCAAAGCCAACTTGTCGGTGCTCGTAGACTTTCCCGAAGCTGCTTCCCGTTGAGCTATGCCACGCTGCAAGTTGAAATCAGTATCAGACCCCTTGAGAGGTTAAAGCTGGCAGTAGTTGTATAGCAACCCCCCTTTGCACACACAATGTCCAAGGTGGAGAAGATCTTCGAGAGAGTGCTGGCCTTGCAGCATGCGGTGCAGAGGGCTGAGGCGCCAAATATGGCGGCACCTATGGCATCAGCGCCCATGGCTGATGACCCACCTCCACCTGTGCTACAGGGTCAGGTGGTTGAAGATGCTCCAAGGGCCGGCCCGTGCCGTCGCACAGCGAGTGCGTCAGGATCGGCGATTGTCAGGTTTGTCGCGTCATTGCAATGTACATAATGAAATGTAATGTAATGTATTGTAGTGTAGTGTAGTGTAGTGTACTGTACATTACTGTACTGTACTGTACTGTACTGTAGTGTGTGTGCTGTGTGGTGTGTGTGGTGTGTGTGGTGTGTGTGGTGTGTGTGGTGTGTGTGGTGTGTGTGGTGTGTGTGTGTGTGTGAAATGAGAGCTCTGGAGGACGCGCGGCACACCATGGGGCTGACAGGCGCAGGCCGGGCGAAAGCGGCGCTCAGGGGACCTGGGAGCCTCTCCCGAAGTCTCAGCGCCCGACGCGGCCCGGCGCTCCAGGCCCAGCGCCCGGGGCGGCGCCGACGGCGCCGACGCCGACGGCGCCCCCGACGTCTGCGCCCAGGCCGGCGATGGCGCCAGCGGCACCGCCGGCACCGACGGGGACGGCGACGGCGACAGCGGTGTTCGACCCGACGGCCATGGCTGCAGAGCTGGAGCGCTGCGAACGCCTTCGTCCGCCAAGCGCGGGGCGGCACTATGTGAGGCGGTGAGAGAAGTTTGTGCCCTGAAAGCTGGGCTGTAGCTGTTTGTACTTCACAAGGGATGAACTCGGACACAAAGTGTCGGCAAGAGGTAGCCGCCAAAGGCGCCAACCTCTTCGTCATGTCTAGTAGCACCTAACGTGAAAAATGCAGACTGCAAGCCTTTCTTTGCAGTCCGAGCCCGTGGTTGTTCTTGCTTTTCCAACAATGCTCGGCAGATATCCAGCCCTTCTTCTGGACCTGGCGCATGCCCCACGGCCCCATCTTTGAGCGTGGCTGGAGCCTTCGATGGCTCGCAGGATGGACGGGAAGGGGGTCGGGGTGTACACTGGGCTTTACACGTGACTTGAACGGAGTGTTGATCGCTGCTTCATTTGGAGGATTGGACTTTCCAACCTTGAGACCCTTTGAGTTGTAACAAGAGTATATTATAAGACGTTACTTTTCTGTTGAACACCATACAATTTGATTTTTTTTAATTATTGTTGCTATTTTTTCAATACCTTGTTCCCAACAGACAGGAGGTTTAAGACCGCCACGAGGGAAGCGGGATCTGCTTTGAGCGACCGCAGGCCTGGAGCTCCCGGCGCAGGTCACTTGCCCGCCACCTGGGCACTCGTTTTAGCTGAGCCAAACGGTGCGCCGGCTGCTGCAAAAGGCCCTGCTTCGTTTTTTTTTTTGCTTGGTTTGGGATTGTGGCGTTTTATTATTTTGCTGGCCTCCGGCCGTGTTCGCCTACGTTTCAGGGAAAAGGCACGAGCCTTGTGCGGCTGTGGGGGCACTTTGCTGTGTTCTTTGCATCTCGGGTTGACGAGGGTCAGATAAAAGCCGCCAAGTGCCGCAGCTATGCAAGAGATGCCCCCACAGTGAGCAGCCTCTTGCCATGGAGAGAGCAGTGGAAGCTTTCTTGAAGGATGCGGGCTTGTCCGACTTCCTTCAGGCCCTGTCAGATCTGGGTGTGCAAAAGCTCGACGATCTGAAGGACTTGGAGGCAGATGACCTGGAGGAGATTGGGATGATCTCCGGCTCAAAGAAGAGCGTTATGGTGTCCGGATCTGGGCAAGCGGAGGAAAACATAGAAGAGACAGTTGGGGGTAAACCTTTTAAGTGCTGGGCTTGTCATAAGGGGCTGTGCAGACTGACAACCGTCCAACATTTTGTCTCAGCAGCTGCTGCTCCAGTGTCTCCCATTGTGTGAAATGATTCTGCAACCCAAACTTCAGCGGAACGCGTGGCTGCCAATTGGCAGCTAGTGAAATGAATGCCCAGCGAGATTGGATTCCAATCCCAGAGCCCCCTGTCCCCGAACGTTGCCTGCCTCGCCAAGTCCGAGGAAGAAGCTGCAGAAGCGGCGCCTCGCTCGGGCTCTCAAGGGGAGCAACGCGAGCGGAGACGCGGAGAGAGGCATCGCAGAGCCGCCGGAGGAGGAGCCTCACACGGAGGCCGTGCAGGACTGGGGGATGGTGAGACTTCCCTTTTTTTCCAGCGGAAGCCCGGCTTTTGGCAGCTCTTTCAATCTCAGAGACATGTCATTGAATTTGTGGGTGAACCCCGGTGGAATGCGGAGGATAGTAGATTGGCCAAGGCAGCACCATCAGTATGCTGTTGCGTGCCTGCTAGATGAGGACAGCCATGAGCCTTGCAGCGCCATTGCGGAGCTGTGTGCTTGACAAGGAGGAAGCAGCTGGCATGATCATGTGCGATGGCGACTTCGAGTCGATCGCCACCAATGATGGTGCCGTGATTGCCCAGCTCATCTGCTTGCAGACCGACCTTCAGGATGACATGCACGTAGCAAAGCTGGTGACCAGCGTGGAAGGGGTCGTGGCACTGTGCAAGATGCTGGGCGACGGCAGCGCCTGCGTCGCCCCGAAGCCCAAGGTGAACTTCGAGAGACTCGAGAGGGGCAAGCTGCCAATCATTGGCGTTCTGGGCGAGCAGCTAGCGATCCGCGGCTTCCTCGAAAGCTTGCAGCTTGCCCCGCAGGTGACGGCGATGCTTAAGACGGTCGGGCTCTATGCCATCCATCACCAGCAGCGCCTGCTCTTGGTTTTATGGCCGGCCAAAGCCGGCTTTCAGGATGCCTCGCACCGCAGGCCTATGGTCAGCTTCGTGCACTTCGTGATGCAGCTGACCACCGATATCCTGTGGCTGGTTGGAGAGGAGGACCTGCAGGCGCTGCAGACTCGCAGAGACGCTGTGCGGTCAAACCTTTCAAGGACTGGAAGCCACTGATGGCGAGCCACACATAGAAGCAGGCAGCGCCTTCACGCGTCCAAGTCTCAGCAGTTCCCATTTTGGTCATAGAAACTGAGTGCTTGGCTGAGGCTTGTTGCTAGAGCCCGTGAGATATGGGAAGTCAGTTCAATTCGTTTGTGCAATTGCTGACCTCCCTTGAGGAATCTGGACATTCAGATTGGCATGAAGGCCGCAAGCGAAGATGATTGCAACTTTGGGTCACACTTCCGCTTGTCTATCCCCACAATTGGCACGTCTGACATTCGCATATGCAGTGGCAAGAATCGCTCTTCTCTCAGTATGCTTCGGGTACAAGCTGCAGGTAAACAAGAAATTCGATTGCACAGATCAGACACCATCACCAACTTCTTCCGTGAGGTGAAGGACACTCACTCTGTGCATTTCCACCCTGACCTGCAGCTGGAACAGTGCGAACAATTCGCTCAAGTTGTTTCATCTTCAGACTTTGCGCGGATCCAGGGCCAGCACAAAGAGAAAATACGACAGCTTGCCACTCAGAGACGGGAGCGGGAGCAGGCGATAGAGGAATCTGAGAATCGGAAGAAAGAGGACCTCTACGTCATGTTGAAGGAAACTGCAAGCGCAGAGATTCTCAAGAAATTCCCCGCTGAGTTCTTCGTGTTGATGACATCACAAACCGAATGTGCAGTGTGCCTTTCAACGCGGCTCGGCACAGGATCATCTGGCCTGCCTGCGCTTGTGATGGATGGCACGCGTTTGATTGTTTGAACTGTCTTGGCTCGTTCTTGATTTTGGTGTACTTTAGTGTGTGTTCTTTAGTACCGCGTATCTGGTTTGCGTGCATTTGAATTTCCTTGCCTTGCATGCTGATTTTACTTGCTGCTTGCTGCTGTCTTCGTTTGTTTCTTCTAGTCCTTTGACTCTACATTTGCGTCCTCGCTTGTGCCCTTGGCAAATTCCTTTCTGTTGCAGACTGCAGAATGGTAAGCTGTGCGACCCACATGCCTAGCATTTTCTATAGTCCAATGACGGGCCTTGTCAAGTGTGGTTTCGTCTCGCTTGCCCCCATGGGCAAGCGGGCAGAGTTTCTGGCAGGCTGGATGCTGACAGTGTCCGCCTTCCTTGTGATCCGGGCCACATCCTTCATCGGCGGTGCTTTGAAGAACATTTGAAGACTAAGCGCAACTGCTACTTGGCACTATTTTGTGACAGTTGATTATCTATTTGCCAGCCTGTATGCTGGCTGCTGCTTTTACTCCGAATCTTGTGACCAATCACTTTGATCCAAAGGCCCCCTGCAATTTGCGGTAGCAACGCCTTAAATACTGGCAAGGCAAAGCCGGCGCAAAACTAGTGTGCCTACTAGATGCTTTGTGCAGATGTCTAAGGTCCGATATGCAGGCCTGGTGCTATCCATGTTTTCCATCGTAGAGTCTTGGCACAGGAGCTGAAGTCATTCTATGGTGTGCAGCTTTGCCAGGAAAGATGTTGCTCGCGACGTCAGAGGTGCGGCGCTCGCAGCAATCTTAGCCTTGCGCAGGAGCACAAGCTTTATGCAAAAGCTCAGCATGATTGCTATCCTTGCTTCCAGAGCTTGGATGGGCATTCACCTCCCCGTTTGGGACTCGTTGGGTGGAATTTAACCCAGCAACAGCCCTGAATAGCAATAACAGCTTTCCAGCAACTGGCAATTCTTCTTGCAAGGCACAATATGCAGCCAAGCAACCTAAGGTCCTGCCTTATCAAGAGCAACCAGAACATCAAACAGCGCTCTGCCGGGACACCGCCTAGACATCGCTGCACTGTCGGGACACCAGCGGAACACCATCGAGACACCGCTGGCACACCTCTCAACACATTGTTTGGGCACATCACCACCATCAACTGGCACGGGACAGCGCCGAACACGACTTTAAGGGACACCAGAGAGCACGCCCAGCACAGCATAATTTTTAACACACCTTGGCATCACCAGAAGGTATCACTGTGTAAGTGTGCACCAGTGCACAGGTGCACATTTTGCAACCCGCCGGCCGGGGTTTTCAAGCCCAAGAGTGTCGTTTTACTCAGGTGGACAATGCAGCCCGCATGCTTACTCGTGCGGGGTAAGACGTGGTGATTCAACATTGGTACAGGTCGTTGCACAGGAGCCGGAAGTTGCAAGGAGCTGGAGGTCGAGAAGAAGAAGAAGCGGATCCAGGCGACGCGGAGCAAGCCAGCAACGAGGTCGATGCTGGCGTGGATGAGTTAGACGCGAACCGGGAGGAGGCCGCGCGTGCATCAGCAGACTGGGGGTCTGAACAGAGTTGATGGACGGCGCCTGCTTCTGTCGAGGTGGGCAGGGCCATTGGCAAGAATCATGGAGGAACCTTTTCAGAGAAGGCAAGAACGTGGTGCTCCAGCCCGCTCCCGCCATATTGCGCTGGTCAGTGGACGCTCCAACGCGACATCTTTCTCCTTGGGGCCGTTGTTGTAAAGACTTCGTCGACCAAGTGCAGGAAGAGACCTTTTCGCGATCTCGCCTCCGTCGCTCCGAGCTTCGTTGGATTATCCACGCCTCCAGGGTGAACACCTCCAGGACCTCCTGGATGGGCTCTCGGTGATGAAGCTCCCGCACGTTGCCAAGCAAGTGAGCGCTACCTTGTTGCAGCGCTCTCTTCCACGCCTGCAACGCCGCGGGAACGCGTGCCCGGCAACGGGTTGGCCCTTGTACTTCCCAGTCCGGGGCATGATCCCGTGCTTATGCTTCATCATCACCATGGTCGTCCTGCAAGTCTGAAAGTTCGGGCGGAAGAACAACAGCCACGGTCTCTTGACGCCGCTCTTCAGCGCCGACGCCTCGGCCAGCCTCGCCAACTCCGACTGCGCGTTGGGGTTGCCCTCGTTTCCTTGGCACTTGAACCCAGAAAGCCGTGCATCCTCCCGCAGAGCCTGTGCGCTCCCAATTCCCACAAATTCCTTCTTCAGTGCCCATCCCGACAACATCCTCCGGCACGTCCAGTGTCGCTGCGCCGCGCGCCTTGGTCATCAACTTCAGGGCAGCGGGCCCAAGGCTGCTTGTTCCTCGGCTTCTCGACCGGGGCTCTGTTGGGGCGCAGCACGATGCTTCTTCTCTAACATCCCCGTGTCTCTCACCTCCTTGCATTTGGTCTTCGGCCGAACGTGCGCCCTACAAGCTCGAGCGGTTCTGGGGGGCTCCTGTCCAACATGCATGAAACGCGCCTTAGATGTCAACACATCAACTCCGCCACCTTGGCGATCATCTTCGGATAGGGTCTGCGCTCGAGGTGCGCCCTATGGAGAAGCTGCTTGCGAGAGGAGATTTGTGATCAATGTAAGTGTGCAACAACAGTGCATGGTTGGAACATTTTTGCATCGCCGCCGAAGTTTTCAGGCCCAAAAGTGTTGTCTGACTCCAGCGAAGAATAGAGCCCGTCTTCCTGCGGGGTGAGTTCTGGCAGCTCCCCTCTGCAACCGTTGAGAAGGCCATTGGGCACCCAGCGCCATCAAAGTGCCACCACGCTGCAGAACAGATACCGCCGGAACGTCAGCAGCGCAACACCCAAACAACAAAATCATGCGGATGCAAACCTGAGCACAGCAGGGACGCCCGCCAAGTGGGCCACGAACTGGGACGCTAAGTGGGACACGAGGCCCTCCCCTGGACTCCGCTGCCCCCCCCGCCCCACTCTCGGCAAAAAATGGAGAACACCATGCGCGTTCAAGGGCGCAAGGGCGGGCGCAAGACAGATCGACACGCAGCCTCGCACGTATCGTTTGACACGTGTCCACTTCTACTTACTCGCCAGCACCAGAACTGCAAGGGGCTTGACACTTGTTTCAACGTGTTTCAGACCTGTGTCAGACTCAGGGCGGAGACGCAACTGCTTTCCGATTCTTGGTGTGCAAACGGGTGCTATGGATGGTGCTTGGCCCGCCCTTGTACCACGTCACCAGGGCTCGGTGACAACTTTTTTGCAACGCATCTTTTCTTTAGTCGTGGGTTGCACGTCCGCGCCGACACGTGCTGACCGGAATCGGATTCCGTGTCCGAATCGCCGGTGTTGGTGACATGCTGTTGACCAGATTTCTGTTCATGCATGCGTGTCACTGACGCAGTTTCTCGGATGGACAATTGCCACAAACTGGAGACCAGGTGTGAAACAGTGAAACCTGCCTGAAACAAACCGGCCGCTGGCTGTATTGTTTGGTGATGGCTATATTGTTTCAGAATGCGAGACACGGTGTATCACTTGTGCACAAGTGGGCGCAAGGGCGAGGCGCAAGGTTCCCTACACAGTAGGCATGTCACTTGTGCGTGCTGCTGTTGTGGTGATTGCTCGAGAATGCCTTGTTCCAGTTGCTCGAATCTGGCAGCCCTAAGGCTCTGGTGGACGAAGGGGCAGCTGCGCGTTTGTCAAGGCAGATTGCCGCCAAGGAAGCTCATCCCCTCGTGGGCTGCTGGAAGAGCACTGTTGGGGCAGAAGCCTTCAACATTGTCAAGGAGGGCACTGAGCTGGCCATTAAGACGCACGGTCTTCACAGCAGGATTGTAGAAGCCCGTGGCTTGTGGTATGCGACTGTCATGGGTCGAGGCACGATGTATATTCAGCAGGCTGCTGGCAATGAGGACCTTCGCTTTAGGATGCCAGAGGACAAGAGTTGGCGTGATGCCAAGAAGGCAGGAGCAAATCCGAACGCTGAAAACACCAGCGATGCATCGGTGGGAGGTATTCTGGATTGTATCCAAGAAATGTTTAGCAATTTGCAGTTCATGTACGCATTTGCTGAATTAGCTCATGCAGAAGGCTGGATGAAAAAGGCAAATCTTGATTTGGCGGACACCGAGCGCGAGATGCTCCAGCAGTCTTTGGAGAACGGCGAAACGGTCTTCAACAAATGGTATGAGGAGCTGGTCCCTCCTGCATCTCTCATCCAAAGATTGAACCCCTTGTCAGGAAGTGATGGGAGGAAACAGCTCTGCGTGCATGACGTGAGGAGGCAGCTTGTCCAGCGCACGAGCGAGTTGGAGGCATGCAGCACAAAGCACGAGAGGTACAGTCGTGCCATCCAGTCATGCAGAGATGCCTTGAACAATTGTCTGGAGAAAAGATTGAGAGACATGACGGACTTGGTGTTCAAGCGTCACATTCAAGAATCCTTTGCTGACAAGAAGCAACTGCTACGTGCAGGTTTTGCCACTCGTGAGCAAAGGCTCAGCAGTGAGCTTTGCTGTGCCTACGGGACGGCCATGCAAGCATTGGCTCCAGAAAATGCCCCAAAGGTGATCCTTGCCAAGATGATGCCACGCTACTCGGGCACATACATTTTTGAGGGTCAATCGGAGGTGATCGGCGAGACGCAACTCATTTGTGCCATGTATCATTTCAAGGTCGAAAAGGCGCACTTCGAGCATGCAATCTCAGCTGGCCGAGATTTGAGGGTGGCGCTGGAGCGGCTTATGCCGTCCGACATGCGGTTTGGTATCAAGAGGCCTGATGGAGTCTTGCAAGCAGGATGCTTGGGGAAAGATCGTGGCTTCTCTGTGTGCTACAGTGACACCGGCAAGAGCCTCAATTTCATCGCTCGCTCCAGATATGGGGAGGACTGGCTTCTGCAGCTCAAGCGAGATGTTGATGCCGTCGCATGGAGTGAACAGCTCCGCATGCTCGCTGTCTACTCCTCCGAGTCTGGGCAAGCGGGCATCTATGCTTGGGATGAGCATTTTGGGCGCCACCACGACTACTGCGCACCGATCTCGTTGGACAACCATCTACCTGATGCGGAACTGTTTCAAATGCATTTCCTCCCAGCCACCAAGCAGCTTTGCTTTGTCTTCCGCTGCAACACCGTGAGGATTTTTGAGCTTGTGCCCAAGTGCATGCGCCCACGAGGCTTCTCCATCACGCCCCATGTGAAGTCCGTGGTCGACTCTGGTGGCGCAGCCCTGTTGGCTCTCTACCAGGGCTGTGACGCAGCCACGTGGAAGATGGATGTCTTCCTGACCGCGGATGGGCGGAAGATCAAGACCTTGACCCTGCCCCTCGCCGGCTGTCTGACACCGCCAACAGTGGATATTGTCTGCCTCTACGGGGTGGACTTCCTGGTCGCAGTGGGCCCAGGCAGGAGGGAGCTGCATGGTTGGCACTTCAAGCTGCAGACTGCCGAACAGATCTGTTCCATGGAGCAGGTGGGAAGCGCAGAGGCGGAGGCGCAGCCCAGTGGTCTGACCACGCCTCTGGATTTGCTCAGTCAAGTCCTCTCCAAATTCACCAGCCAAGCAGCGCTGAGTGGCATGAACCTTGCCCCCCAGACGACACGACTCACCGTGCTTGGTCCACAAGTGGACAGCGATGTGGGGCCTGCCGCGGAAGTGAATCAGTATGTCTCCAAGCTTTTGGCAAAGCTCAAGCAAGATACCCAGAAGCCCTCGCTAGAATCCTTGCGCATAGAGACTTGTCGCACTGGCCAATGTGGTTGTTGTGAATGTGTAGGTGTTTATACATGCACGCGTGTGTGATCAAATGTTGTTGGCATTGCTTGCAATGTTTTGCGGCCTAGCTTGCTTGCCGCCAGGAAATCACTTTTCTTTCTGTCGCAGTCGCGCACCCTATGTGGGCAGTCGATGTGGTGGCTGGCTTGACGGCCTCTGATGTGAATCTGACACAGTGCCTTGGATCTGCAGCAAGCCCTTGTGCTTTGAGCGCAGTAGGACACTTTTTCAATTGCAACCAGCCCACACACAACCCAGGTTTGTTCGCAGCCTGATTTGCATGGTGCCCATGCAAATCGCGCGGGCCGAGAATGAGTCTTTCATTATCCTTAAAGATGGTTTGCGGGAGGACGTCAGCGACTTCAGCCATGTGAATGAGCTGGCTGGCTTTATTTCTTTCGGCCTGTACGAGCTGATTCTGGAAAGCAACGAGAACCCAGTGGTTGTGATATCCAGTATGGGGAAGCAGTCAACTGGAAAATCCTACATGCTCAACCATTTGGCAGGCGCGGCAGATTTTGTCAGCAACACGGGAAATCAAATCGTTTCGCTGCCCTCCAGGAAGCTGCTTTGATACCGCTGGCGGTCGATGCTCCGGCCTCAGAACATGGATTGCACGGGCAGACAGGGAAGGTGCCGCAATTGGCGACAGGTACTTGGTACTTGGTACTTGGTACTTGGTACTTGTACGTCCTGTAGCCTAGTTACAACGATGGAAAACAGCGAGCTTCAATTCCGAATCTGCTTGAGGCACTGATGGGGTGTGGATGACCCTTCGAGAGATGCCGGATGTGACGTACATCCTTCTGGACTTTGAGGGGCTGGGATCCTTTGAGCGCTCGGCGCAGGAAGACATGCTGCTCTCTGCCAGAACCTCGGTGCTTGCGCAAGGGAGTAGACCTAGATCCGAGCAAGTTGCACTGATCAAAGACTTGTAGACAAGCACAGTGTGTCACAGCCAGGTCTTCAACGCGGCAATCTCCCACGTCTCTCTCTTCCGCGCTGAGAATCGCCTGGACTGCGACACGGCCAACATCTTTTCGCGCATGCAGCAGGCTGCCAAATTGATCCAGGGAGACAAGGAGGGGGGGCTTGCCAGTCGTCTCAGTCCAAGTTTGATGCAACGCTTGCTACCGTAATGGGACCGGAGGCATTCAATGTATTGCGTTGCGGTGCAGTCAGGGGTTGGAGTGAACGATTGTCAGCGCCCTGTGAGGAGCTCTTCAACGGCATGTTTCAAATTGTCGTGAAGGATGTTGTGTCGGATGCCAAGGAGGTGGCTCAAGAGTTCAAGCAGAAGATCCACAACTTCTTCCTGCGACTCTACAAGGGCCGCGCCCTGGTCTTAGACCAAAGCCGCAGAGACTCACATGGCACGCCACGTCCTGCATGCTGCAGGCTGCATGATATGGAGAGAGCATCAGAGATCATGCTGTTATTGTGGAAAATAATCATGAAGAAGCCTTGCCAGAAGTCGCTTCTTGACGCTAAGTGAAGAGGACTTTGTTGACCGAGGTCGGAATTCTTCCATTTCCTGCCTTGGGCCGATTGGAGTTCTACAGGGAGTTTGAGTCTCTGATAGAAAAGGTGCAGGCAGCGCAGGCCAGGACTTTGCAACTCAAATCATTGATGGTGGGATGCCATGCGCAGAGCTTGACCGTTCTCTTTAGCGGACTCAATCCCAGAAACGCAGGGTACAAGGAGCATGCATGTTGCCCGGGAAAGTGGACAGACGATGGTGGTAATGGGCAGGCCTCCGGAAGATGCTTTGAAAGCGGCCGACAGTTTTTGCGGAACACGAAGTTGCTCATGTCCAAGATTTCCATGAAAGATTGGACGCCTACAGTTGCTTAATTGCAGTGAACTCTGCGGATGCGGAAGTGTGCAGCCAAGCTGCGTTGGGCCTTTCCTGAAGTGAAGAATCTGAGGATCAGAACAAGATCAAAATACTTTTGGCAAGCCTCAGTGAATGCTTGGTGCCTGCAGTGGCCGGTGGCTGCATGGCGCTCACAGAGGACGGGTGTGCACTGTATGCCACTTCATGTGCAGGGGACCGCCTGTTTTAGTCATGGGCTCCATTTACCAGGGTTCCTTTTTAGGTACCCATTTTTGACCCACGGCCATGTAGCAATGCACAATTTTTGTGGCCAGCTGTTGAAGCCAATTGCTTGCTACGTTAACACCCGCACAGACACAAACACATTTGGCATCAAGCAAAGGCATTGGGATGTCAAATCTGAGTGTGTGAGACTTGCCCTGGAGACTCAGATAGTGTTTCTCACAGCCCTTGTCGACAGGATGGTGTGATGCCTTTGCTGCATCTCCGAAGTAACAAGACCTTCGTGACTCCAAATGCTCCCATGGATGATGAGCCAGAGTGCGTGAGCTCCATCCAGGCCGTGCTTCCGGATGAAGGCCTGGTACTGGCCAACGCAGTGGAGGAAGATGGCTCCTGGGACATCCGTGTCACTCCTGAGGTTATGGCCAACTTACAGTCCAAGGTCAAGGCCGTGCAGGTTTGCACCACTGACCCTCCAAGGTGCAAGCAGCCTTTTTTTGTCCGGCCTACCACCCTCCTTGTGGTGCGTTTTCACTCCAAAGGTTGGCGGCCTGGTTTTTCTTCTAAGCAGGCAAAAAAGCACAAGTCAGGCCTTGGAAAACGTGCCCAACTGGTTTTGTGGGCCCAGACACAAGGATGAGCTCTCCAAGACATTGCGCGCTCTTGCGATGCGACGGCAGCAGCGCATCATTGCTTGGATGGAGTCCAACCTGGAGCACATTGCTAACGAAGGCGATGCTCAGCGCTTGATGATGCAAACCAAGATGTTGCTGGCAAGGCTAGAGGACATTAATATTTCTTTTCCTTTCCATCACTTGACTCGGATCACCTGAGGGTTTCATTGGCGCTGGAATCTGTTCATCCCACCAGCGGACCTTGGTTGCTTTCTTCTCGCCATGCAAAACATGAGCCAGCGAACCAACAATCATGCGCGCTGCTTGTTCATGCACGGTCCCTTCCAGGCTGTTGCAGCGATTGCGGCTTTGCGGCCTGGACTGTGCACATTGCCGGCTGCCGTGCACGCTGCCTTGGGATCACGCGGCAGATCTCTCGCACGACTGCGGGACAGACCACCGCTGCCACGCCTTCTGCCACTACTGCCAGGAGTCTGGACGCGCCACCGCGTGCCAGCAGAGCGCCGGGCATGCAGAGGCGCACGACTGCGGGGACGCCGCTCACACTTGCGGCCAGGACTGCTCGCTGTCCTCGCTAGGCAACTGCGGTGGTCGGTGTGTGCTGAAACCTGGGCACTCGGAGGCGCATTTGTGCGGGAGCTTGCGGCATCACTGCGGCAAGCCCTGCAGCCTCTCAACGTGTTCCAACGCTTGCGTGCTGCCCTTCGACCTGATTCACGAGCGGTGCGAGTGTCACGTGATCGTTTGCCCAAACAAGTGCTCCTTCCCCAGCTGCAGTTTCATGTGCTCTGTCTCAGACCACTTCCATGCGGATGGCCGAGCTGACTGTATGTGCGACCAGCCGCACCAATGTCCCCGCGAGTGTCAGTCCACGGGTATTTGCGAGATCTATTCTGAGCTCGTAGTCAAGAAACAAAAGTTCACCGGCAAGCACGACACCTTCGACTACGATGCCATAGTGACGGAGCAGAACGGCGTGCGCAAGACCTGTTGCAAGGTCGTTCCAGCCAAGAGCCGCGAGCATGAGGGAGAGCACATCCACTCTACCACGGAAAACCTTGTCCATTACTGCGATGAGAAATGCCCCACTTGCGGCTACTACTGCACGTTGCCATGGGGCCATTCAGGAGAGCACGACACCCGGCATGGGAACATGCGAAGGACGTATTTCGTCTCGGACCAAGAGGTGTTCACGCTGGGCTCTCGCAAGTATGCGCCTGCAGAGTCAGGTGTGGCCGAGATGTGCAACATGTACTGTCACCGGGCCGGGCGTCCAGACCCTAGCTAATTCCAGCGCGCTATGGAATGTTGTCACTGCACGCAAGTCAACCTAGTTACCAAGCACTGCAGCTTTTCAAGCGGATTGTGAGAGTGATTCTATTTTGCTGAGGCGGGCACACGCATGTGAAGCTATGTGCAGACTACTCCCAAGGGCGGGAGTGTTGCAGCTCTGCCATGCCGGGGCGGCGGCATTCGAGCCGTCGGTACAAGCCCAACCCAGACGAGCCCAAGGATGAGTTCACCCATGCAGCTTTCTGGGAAAGTATCAGCTTTCGTGACCCCTGCTCCAACGAGGACATCGACATGTTTCGGCAAGTGCAACCACTTCTGCCCGCATGAGTCGCACTTAAAGGAGGGTGAACAGCCATCCTTTTGCACTCTACCCTTGTGGCATGATGTTCTCACTGATCAAGAGGGCAAAGCCCACGTTGCGCAGCATGGTGGCATTGTGTCGCTCGACGGGCATCACTTTGCATGTTCACATGATACCGGTCTTCCAGTGCACACGATTATTGTGCTGGACAAGTCAATTTCTATGGGAGCTCCAGACGCCAAGCCGCAGATGCGGCCTTGGTGCCAATCGCATCCCAATCGTTTGGGCTGCGCTTTGGCAGCCGCACAATCCTTTGTGGAAAAGAGGCGGCACAGGAGTCCAGGAGATCTCATCTCGCTGATTGCCTTCGATGTCGGGACCTACAACGGCCCGACCGCAGTTCCGATCTTGCAGTTTGACAGCACTGCTCAATGGCTGCAAGCTCTGCGGCCAGGCAACACAACAAGCTTTGCGGAGGCCGTGAAGGCAATCGGCCCTTGCCTTCAGCACACTCCAGCAGGTCACCGCTGCATGGTGCTGTTCTTGTCGGATGGTTGGAATCCGTACCCAGGAGTGGAGCTGAACAACCTCTTTGACCACTCTCAAAGGCATTCAGGCCAGCCGCTATGCTTCCACACAGTGCAGTTCCCGATGGGCGAGGCCTGGGTTTCAAGTGAGAATAGCTCTGAATAAGCAATGTTGCCTGCGGTTGCATGTGTTGCATGTCGTTCTTGGCAGTCTGCGAGTCTCCGGCCTGCGAGGCGGATGGAGCGTAGGTCATGGAGCGCATGGCCTCGGCGGCGCGGCAGGCGGCGCAGCAGGAGGACTTTGCCAGCCGCAGCAGCTACATGGCCTCCGTGGACGGCATCTCGCTGCAGGAGGCCTTCGTCGGAATCGCGGAGTCCCTCTCCGCGCCAGCTGGTGGCCTGATCTCAGGCTGATGGCATTCTGTTGCGAGGGATTGCCATCAAACAACATGAAGAGGCTGAAGGTCGGATGTGAGACATGGTCAATGCGGTTCTTTACCTGCGCCTCGCTGCAGCAAGCGGAGACGTATCCCTTGCTACATGAATGGAGCTGGATTTTTTCCACACAGGGTGAACTCACAAGGAGTTCAGATCATCCATTCAAGGCAATGGGTATTTTAAGTGTGCTGGGGCAGCAGGGGGTGCTTCTTAGCTGGCATAGTATGCCTGTAGATGCTTCGGACCGGAAGAGGGCAAAAGTCTGAGAGTTGCAGAGAGATGTGCTGCTTCAACGCGAACTTCACGCATGCTTGTTCTACTCCAAAATGAGGAACGTCAAAAGATGCAGCGCTGACTGTTCTCTGGCCCTGCCTGGCACGTCGCGCCTGCCTTGGTGACCTGCGCCTTACGTTTGACTCTGTGGCACCCATTGTGAAGCCCCGGCGACGAAGACGTTTGATCTAGATATTTGCAGAGAACCAATACCCTTTCTATGGACATCTTTACTAAAAGCTAGGTTCACATACTGCTATATGTTGAGTTGTATGTGTATATATATATATATATGTTAAATACTACATGCTTTCTCTGGCAGTACAGTTGGGCTACATCCGCTGCCCATACATCCCAAGGCCGTGAGCCTATGTACAGACCTGCCTTAGTGCAGTACATCATTGCCCAGAGGAAAACAACTGCGCTTCGCTTCACACACAGGTTCATCACATCAGGTAAATAGGTATACAGTTGCTCCAAGTTTAACATGGTAGCGGAGCAGTGGTCCCTGGCACACGATCCACACACACTACCCAGGGTGAGCTCCAACACGCACCCACAGCTTCAGGCATACAGCAGTGAACACAGTTACGCGCATGGAAAGATCTGGCGGCCTTTCCATACAACACACAAGGAACAGCGGCCCAACAACAACAACAACAACAACAACAACAACAACAACAACGACACCAACAACGACAACGAGCAACAGCGTCAGCTGGAAGAAATACACAAGTACAAGATAGCACCACCACGATTCACAGGAGAATGCAACACATTCGAATAATGGAAGTACAAGATGACAGCATACCATGGGCTACAAGACCCTTCATACAACAGACTGCTGAGACAGTCAGAGCAATCGCAACTGCCAGCTACAAACGGCCAACTTGAGACAGCAGCACCTTCACAAGCAGTAGCAGAGCAATGCGTACAACTGAGCAACAGCTTACACTACATCTTGGTGAGCACATGCGATGGACCTCATCTACAATTTGCAGGCAACAGCTTCGAGACATGGCGGCCACTGCGCCTGAGAGACTCCATACCACTTGGCGCACGAAGCATTGGGCACCTAACAAGGTTACTCAAACCACAGCACGATGAACAGATGCAGTCAAAATCGCAATACTACTCAATGAGGCACCAGGACCACTACAGCAACACCTACAGTGACAAGCAGGATACCGCAGAGCAGCATCATCATCCAACAGGCTACAAGCAATCACATCATGCAACAGCAACAACCGAGGACCAGCGCCAATGGACATAGGAGCAACGTGGTACAACAAAGGCAAAGGAAACAAGGGCAAGCGCAAGGGCAAAGGAAAAAGTACAACAAAGGCACAGGCTATGGCGGCTACGAGAACAACTACAGCTGCAACAACTACAAAGGAGGAAAAGGCAAATACAATCAACAACCGGTTGGACAAGGAAACCCTTTCAAAGGAAAAGATTACGGCAACAAAGGAAAAGGCAAAGGACACCAGGACAACAAGGATATGGCAAAGGAAAAGGATGCAGCAAACAAAGGAAAAGGCAAAGGACACCAGGGCAACGAGGATATGGCGCAGGAAAAAAGCACACAGCAACAAAGGAATAGGCAAAGGACACAAGGACAACAAGGATATGGCAAAGGAAAAGGATACAGCAACAAAGGAAAAGGCAAGGGGTACTACAACAATCAACCAGGAGGAAAAGGAGCAAAAGGAAAGCAAACAACAAATGATTGCTACAGATGCCGACAACCAGGACACATGGCCAAACAATGTAGAGTGGCGATCTACGACTGCGGCGCTGGCAACCTCGACCAATGACCAGACAGATGACTGGCACAGTCAGGCACACTATGACAGCAACTGGCGCCACCAGGATCAGACACAGATGCAACAACTAGCACTGCCACAACCAGCAGACTCATCAGCAGTACCCGTCTCAGGATCACAAGAAGCGCAGCGCAAACAGTTCACAGAAGATAACAAGCGGGTCATTCTCATGACTGACAGCGGCGCGGCTACGCCCACCATGGTTTGCAACACAATTTCCGCAACAGCGCTTCAAGCATGGAACAGGACCACAACCGAGAACAGTGACCGACCAATACATCAAGCTTCACGGGTACAGATGGGTTTGCGTGACAAACCACAGTGGACAACAGATTGTCATACCATTTTACGTTTGTGAGGTTACACAGCCAATTCTTTAGGTTACAAGGCTGGCGGAACAAGGTTTCCAACTTTAGAGCCTCCGGCTCAGTCCGCCGACATTGTCCTCTCCCTTTTCTCCTTCTTCCTCTCTTCCTTGTCTCCCTTGTGTGTTCTGTCGTCCTCTCTCCCTCCCTCTGCTCCCATCCTCCCCATCCCCCCAAGCCTCTCTCTCCCCACTCTCCCTCTCTGCATGCTACATGTATGTATGTATGTATGTATGTATGTATGTATGTAATGTATGTATGTATGTATGTATGTATGTATGTATGTATGTATGTATGTATGTATGTATGTATGTATGTATGTATGTATGTATGTATGTATGTATGTATGTATGTATGTATGTATGTATGTATGTATGTATGTATGTATGTATGTATGTATGTATGTATGTATGTATGTATGTATGTATGTATGTAATGTATGTATGTATGTATGTATGTATGTATGTATGTATGTATGTATGTATGTATGTATGTATGTATGTATGTATGTATGTATGTATGTATGTATGTAATGTATGTATGTATGTATGTATGTATGTATGTATGTATGTATGTATGTATGTATGTATGTATGTATGTATGTAATGTAATGTAATGTAATGTAATGTAATGTAATGTAATGTATGTATGTATGTATGTATGTATGTATGTATGTATGTATGTATGTATGTAATGTATGTATGTATGTATGTATGTATGTATGTATGTATGTATGTATGTATGTATGTATGTATGTATGTATGTATGTAATGTATGTATGTATGTATGTATGTATGTATGTATGTATGTATGTATGTATGTATGTATGTATGTATGTATGTATGTATGTATGTATGTATGTATGTATGTATGTATGTATGTATGTATGTATGTATGTATGTATGTATGTATGTATGTATGTATGTATGTATGTATGTATGTATGTATGTATGTATGTATGTATGTATGTATGTATGTATGTATGTATGTATGTATGTATGTATGTATGTATGTATGTATGTATGTATGTATGTATGTATGTATGTATGTATGTATGTATGTATGTATGTATGTATGTATGTATGTATGTATGTATGTATGTATGTATGTATGTATGTATGTATGTATGTATGTATGTATGTATGTATGTATGTATGTATGTATGTATGTATGTATGTATGTATGTATGTATGTATGTATGTATGTATGTATGTATGTATGTATGTATGTATGTATGTATGTATGTATGTATGTATGTATGTATGTGTAATGTATGTATGTATGTATGTATGTATGTATGTATGTATGTATGTATGTATGTATGTATGTATGTATGTAATGTATGTATGTATGTAATGTCATGTAATGTCATGTAATGTAATGTAATGTACTGTAATGTATGTATGTATGTATGTATCCTTGCACTTCCCCTTTGCTCCCCAGTATTTCCCGCAAAAAAACACGGTTTTTCCAGCGTTTTCGCAAAGAGGACGTCCAAAAACATTGAGTTTTTTCAGATTTTCGGCAAAAGGATGCAGGAAGCCCAAGCCAGCAAAAAAGCCGGCAGGGGGAATCGAGCCTGGGACCCCTGTTTTGCGACACCGGCCCCCCGAAGACTACGCTTAGTGGAACGTCATCAAATTGCCGCGCGGTACGTGGGGGACCCCCTAAAAATACATAAAATGGCACTTCCAGAACTAAAACCAAATAATCAAACAGCATACAACAAAATCGGCAAAATTCACAGAAAACAAGATAAGAACCACCAAGCAACTCAAAAACCAGAACAACCCACAACAAAATATTTAATCAAAGCATAAAACATTAAATAATTCAAACAAGCATACCAACAAAACAGCAAAAATAAAAACCATCAAAGAACACAAACTCAAAAACACACAAAATCAAAAACAAAGCAACATACCATCAAAAAATATCAGAAGAGTATCAAACAAAATAAAATACAAACAGCCAAAGCACGAAAAAATCAAAAGAGCATGCCAAGTTCAAACAACGCACTTTGAAAGAGTCAAGCAAATCAAGGAAAAATAAAATATTTCAATCTTTACAAACCATAAGTACAGTATAATTATAACATATAAAATTTTACATGTTATTATTATAGTATGATTATAATTTCAGTACAGGATAATAATTCAATTGACAAATCTTTCTTCTTTCATACATCATTTTAAAAATAATATTAATATCTCTCAATGTATTTTGAATATTAAACTTTTTACTTTCAATAAATAATTTGATATTTTCTTTAACATCTTCTCCTTTATCTTGACTATATCCCAACATCCATAATATATCATAAATCATTTCATATTTTTTCTTACTAATTTTAAGAAACTGTTTAACATAATCATAAGGTGGTATTTTATTTACAGTTAGAAATATTAAAATATCATCTTCTACATTTCTATGTCGAATTCTTTTTATTCCCAACAGACATCTGATTAATTCTTGATAATATCTCCAATTTCTACAAATTTTACATAAATCT